CTGGACCCTTTGATTTCCGCCAGACGCGTCAACAACCACATCATGAACCAAGCTTTCATCAACTTGACGTGGAGGCGTTTCTTCGAGATGCCAGAGCCTGGGCGCCAATGCACCTCGGCCTCGCCCCAGAAAGAAGTGTGTTGGTGCGCCAGCCGCCGCGAAAACTGGCGGAACCATGCCTGCGCGACGCCAAAGGTTGGCGAAAGCATGAAGGGGTCCGGCCAATCATCGCCAGTCCAGACGTATCCGTGAGCACCCTTCTTGATTGCCACGAAATTCGCCCACTGAAGGCGCGCTCGCGCCATGCACCCGCCTGCTTTGCAACGGACTGGGGTATGGGTACACGTACGCAGGCCATCCGTGTCTACAATAATCGCGTTGGTGGAAAAGGCACGGCACAGCGCGCCCTTGCAAGGGCACGCTTGGCATTTTCTGCCGGGGGGCGTCACGTCCCCGGCGGCGCCCGCCGCCACCGCGGCGGTGGCAAGCCGCTGAATGTCACCAGGCTCGAGCAGCCCCGCAGTGTCAGCTGACTGCAGAGTTTGCTCCGTGAGTCTCAGGTTAAGACACAACGCTGCCATGCTATATCGCGCGCGGATGGTCCGGGACGCCGCGCGGAAGCGCGGGCGAAACTCAAGTGTGAGGTGTGAGGCTTGAGCCCAAATGGTAATGGATGCAAATTGCGACTGATGCTGAGTGCTGGCAAGCAGCTTCGTACATGAGGCGATACGGCGCGCGCATTGTTGCTGATATTTGCACATATTTGCGCCTGGGTAGGCGGTGCAATGGAAGTGAGAGAGCACAATAGATAACAAGGAAGGGAGGAAGAGAAAGGAAAGAGAAGGAGGACGAAGAAGGGAGGGATGAAGAGGCGGATGGGTAGAGGACAACGATCGAGGAAGGAGGGGTGACGACAGAGAAACGGGAGGGTCGAGGATTGAGGAGACGCGGACGAAGACGACATCGACGACACGTCCCGCGGGATCCCGTGGTGTCCCAGGGTGTCCTGTGGTGCTATGTGGTGCCGCGTGGTGTCCTTCTCCCGTGGTGTCCCGTGGTGTCCTGCGTTGTCCTGCGTTGTCCTGCTGTGGTCTTCCATGGTGCCCTATGGCGTATTGTGGTCCCCTGTGGTGTCCTATGGTGCCCTACGGTGTCTTGTGGTTTGCTGCGGTGCCCTGTGGTATCCTGGGCCATCATGGGGCCTCCTGGGATATGCTTGGGCCCCTCTTTGGGGGGCCTTGACCCCCCAAATGCTCTTCCACCACAGCCACATGTGCGCTTTAAACTTGTGAAAATGTATTGTTTTTTTACGGGTCGCCAGCCCCCCCCTTCCCCCCGACGAAGATCTTGGAATCCTTGGCCTTCCTGGGTGCCTCCAGCGGGCGTTTCTCGGGGGGCTCTTGGGGGCTACTTGGGGCACTCGCAGCAATCTCTTAGGGCCTTTCGGGGGCTCTTGGGGGGTCTCCTGGAAAGTTATGAGGCCTTCTTGGAAGCTTTCCGGGGGCCTCTCGGGGATTTCGGGTGCCCCTCAAAAGCTTCATAGGTGCCTCTTGGGGGGGGCTCTTCTCGGGGCTGCCCCTGCCCGGGGGCGGCCCAGCCCTCGACGACAATCAGGCAGTCGCTGCGTCCTACAGCGCCGCCGAACACAGTCTGGCAGGCCGCAGCGCACGCGGCGAACTCGCCGGCCTGCGCCGCCCCGGGGGCGCGGGGGGCGACGGGGGCGCGCGCGCGGCCCAACTCCTGCGCAACATCGAAAACCGAGACACATGCCCATCCCGCCCTCGAAAGCTCTTTGATATCCGGCCGAAAGCTCACTATCTGCGCAACCATCGCGGCCGTCAACGCGTAGAACGCAGGCTCAGCCGCGGGCGGAGGGGGGAATCGCCGGGGCGCGGGAAGATGGCGCACGCACGCAACGCCTGATCCGCCTTGCCCAGCAAATCCCACCTCGCGGGCCAAAACTGAAAGCCGCCGCCGAGCGCGTCAGCGCGCGTGGCCAGGCACGCGGGGCGCCGGCACTGCCGCAGCCCGCGGAAAAAAGGGCGCTCTTATCCCTGCCGCGCATGGGGCGCGACAAATCAAACAGAACGCAGCCAAGCTCGTCAGCGCGAGCCTTGGCCCACGTCGCCTGAGAGGCGACCCCGCGGAAGCAAGCTTTTCTCCAGGGAGAGAACTTGGACGAAAACACGGCGGCAAATGGCGCGTCCATGCGCGTCGCTCTGACCCGAGGCTGCGCCCGCGGGCCCCCTCGTGGCCCCGCGAAACCGCACCCTCGAGCAGACGTTCATGGTAGGCGGGGGGGCCGACGCGAGGTGGTTGTTGCCTCATCGTCGATCAACGTCGAGAACCCCGTCATTTTCCAACCCAGACGCTCCGCGACAGCCTCGCGGCCCGCGCGGGGCCAGACACTCTCCTCCAAGGCGGCGAGGGCCGCGAGAAGCCCACTTCCCAGGCCCCGCGAATGGCCGAAAAGGGGCAAACCCGAAATCGAAGGACCCAACCGGGCTGGCCCAGACTTCCCTGGCGCATCTAACGATCGGAGCCGCGGCGCAGTGCCGGGCTGGGTCGGCGGCGACCAGCAGAGCAGCGGCGAGCAAACGCCCGCCCGCTGAGGGGGGCAATGACTCCCCCAGAAATCGCCGAATCATAGAAAACTCTGTTGGCCGCGCTGGCGAGGGCCCCCGTCGCAGCCGCCTTCATCGCGCGACGCCCCAGGGGCGACTTGCGAGGCGTTGGCCTGGAAGCCTCCATGCTGGAAGCAACACTTCGAACTCTCAACTTGGACCGTCGCCCGGCCGCCCTGATCGACCTGCCCGCGGCGCCGTCCGCGCCCGAGCGCGCTGCGGCCAAGCGGGGCGCGCCGCCGACGGCGGGGCACCGGAATGGCGCACCCGAGATCGGCCTCGATGGCGGACTGCAATTGATAGGCGCTTTCGAGGAGATCGCTGATCGCGCTGCGTGCGGAAGCCGGAAAACGAATAAATCCTCTATGCATGCACTCCAAACGACCCACTCCGACATGGGAAACCCGAGCCCGCCCATGGCCCCAGAGCCGCCAACGCGAAGGCCCCGATGAGCGCGGCGGCGAAGCCGCCGCCGGCGACCGGGCCACGCCGCGCGAACTCAGGGGTGCCCACGCGGCGCGACATGGCCATATACCTGCATGCGCGGTACAGTCGGGGCCTTGACCTAAGGAGCCCAAAATAAGGAACGGGGCCCCTTTTTTCCATAAGTTAAACTTCGATTTCCCGTCGAAAACATAAGGAAAACCTGAGGCAAGCTGTGAAACACTTAAGGAACGCGGAGCCCCTCCCCAACGAAAAGGGTTCCTTCTTCAGGGCCCCGACTGTAAGCCAAATGGCAGACTTTGGCACCCTGGCAATCTGCATGAGGAACTGGTGTTGGCGGCAACGCTCCATCGGCAAACCGACTCGTAGAAATTGGCCATGTCCCAAAAGACCGAGCAAGAGCACGACTGAGTCTTGACCGCGGTTTCGCTGCTGAAGCGTCATCTCCAAACCGTGCCCGCGCTAGACGCAAAGGCACCGGCGGCAAAACACCCCCTGCTGCGGTCCGACCCCCAACTTCCGGCAAAGTCACGTCGGGCTCTGGCCCACAGACTGTAGATCGCGACGACGAAATGACCTATCGGACGATGACCTCCCTCGGGCTTGGAAAACTGATCAACAAGATGAAGCTCATCTGCCCAAGAAGAAGACCATGCATTTCGAACATCGCGATCATATTCGAAAGCGTGGGCAGGGCATGGTCAAAAGGTGCTGCGCACTAGAAAGGTGGAGCCGCCCACTAACTGGGCGGTCGTGAGAAAGAAACAGCGAGCCACGAGGCGGATGTCGTCGGGCGACAACGGCGGCAGCGGCTCAAGCACCTCGAAGCTGGCGCCAGTAGCGTAGTCTTCAACACAGACCTTGGCGTGCCAAATGCATGCGAACATATTTAGCTCAGTGGCTCAAATAACTCCAGGATCTGACAACACTTCTCCTCTAGCAATCAAAGTGGCGGTGGGGGTCCACCCAAGGGCACCCCTGAGGACCCCGTGCGCACGGCGCGCACCAATCTCGATTTTGTGACGGATCCATTCGAACCACTTCCTGTGGTCCTTCTGGCGGGCCTTAGCTCACCCTCCGCGACAACCACGGCGTGGGACACACGATCCAACGTAAACTGAGCTTCCCCCTCCACATCCGCTTTGTCAAGGGGTCAAGGTCAAGGCCAAGGCCCCGTGCGAACACGAAGCCCGGCCCGATGCCACACGCGAAGTGTAACAAAAACACTCGCACGAACTACATGCCCTCTGTTGCTACATGTCCACTGATGCTGGTGCGTTCATGGCTGTGCGTCGGAAAACGGGATAGAGAGAGGACGCGCGAAAGGACAGAGGGACGCACGACGGGCAAAGACGAGAGGCGAGGCGAAGGGAACAAAAGGGAGGGACGGACGGGGGACGACGGAGAAAACGCGAGCGGGAATCAAAAGCCGTTGCGCCACGTCGTTCGCGGCCTGCTTGTGCAGCGGTTCGGCTGGGCAGGCAGTTTTGCGTCGGCAATTCCGCCTGTGTTCCAGGCCACGACTAAGTTCAACAGCGTGTTCTGGCTCAAACGAGCGAATTTTGCTGCAACGTTATACTGTCCTGGCACGCGGGAAGGGACAGGATATCTTTTTCCCAAAGGTTCACTTTCCTGGGCGGGGCAAAAGTGACGGCAGCGGCCTCGGTCACATGTCTCTGGCGAAAAGGAAGAGGAGGAGGAGGAGGAGGAGGGGGAGGAGGAGGAGGAGGAGGAGGAGGAGGAGGAGGAGGAGGAGGAGGAAAGGAACAGGACGAGGTGAGGAGGAAGAGCAAGCGGGGGAGAAAGAGGAGGAAGAGGAGGAGGAGGAGGAGGAGGAGAAGGAGGAGGAGGAAGACGAAGAGGAGGAAAACAACAAGAGAAGAGAAACAATAAGAAGATGAGGCGGGGGAAGCGGAAGAAACCGCACGCGCCGCGCGCCTCCCTCCAACCGTCCCAGGTGCCCACCACACCCGCCGAGCTGCAGCCGCGGAGGTCCACCCGCGGGCCAGGCGGGCGCTCCAGGAATGCAGCCTCTCGGGGCGACGGGCTGTGGCGCGGCCGGGTGTCGGTCCTCTTCCTCCTCCTCCTCCTCCTCCTCCTCCTCTCTCTCCTCCTCCTCCTCCTTCCTTTTCCTCCTCCTCCTCCTCCTCCTCCTCTTCCTCCTCCTCATTTCTCTCCTCCTCCTATTTTTCCTCCTTTACTCCTCGTTTCCCCCCTCCTTTTCTTCCTCATTCTCTTCTTCCTCCTCCTCCTCCTCCTCCTCCTCCTCCTCCCCTTCCTGCTCCTCCTCCTCCTCCTCCTCCTCTTCCTCCTTCTCCTCGCGAGCGAGGCACGACACCCAAACAGGCAAGCCGCCTGAAACATCCCCACGATTTGGGCGAGAACGGGCCCGTGAAGACAACCGTGCAATTCTCTTTCGGGACTGCCAGAACCAGCGTTTTTTTTTCTAGAAATCCTCTCAATCAATCTATTCTGAAATCCGAAAAGGGCTGGGCACCGATAGGTAAACTGCGTGAAACACCCCGACAATTTGAGCGCGAACGGGCCTGTGAGAACACCCAGGGGGGCTCCCCCATGGGTTGCTAGAGTCAGCGCCTCGCTCGGAGACCTCCGCACAACTTACTCTGGAAATGCAATATGCTTGGGCACCCGATCAGGCAAACCACTCGAAACATCGCCGCAACCCTCGGCTTCGGTCTAACCGAGGAAGAATGCAAATGAGCCAGTTTGACTTCGACAGGGCCTGATTCTGAATGAGCCTGAATGTGAACGAATCTGAGCATGAACGCATACGAGTGCGAGCGAGTCTGAGCACGATTGAGTCTGAATGCGAATGAACTTGAGTACGCGTGAGTCTGAATATGGGGGGATCTGGGCATGAGCGAGCCCGAGCGGGGAAGAGCAAGAGGAGGGAGGAGAAAAAGGAAGGAGGGTATCGGAAACGCCGAAATAACTACAACAAGGACCCCGCCGTGGGAAAATAGCCGCCTCCTCCGGGGGCCCAGGACCCAAAACGCCCCGAAAGCGGGTTCCGCGTGGCGGCCCCGGAGAGAAGCGGGGGAGGCAACGCGTCGAACTGGCAATAGCCGACCCCCACCTCCTGCACCGCGCCCCGGCTGCCCAGCGCCGGCCAGCTAGCTGGCCAGCTCGACCGCCAGCGCGGCCCCGCGGCCGCCCCCCAGGCCCTGGGCTCGGTAGCGCGCGAGTCAGCGGAGGCGGCGAAGCGCGGCCCTGCCCAACCGGCCGGCCGTTTCGTGGGCCAACGGCATGACCAGTCAAGGTGCCTGCCGCTCGAGGTAGCGGCGGCGCTTGTCCGCTTCGCCCCCTGCGGCGATTCCGCCGTCTGCGGGCCGCCGCCGCCACGGCGCGTGCGTCCCTCGGAACGCTTTGCCCGACGGCGATGTCCGCCAGCATCTGGGGGCAGTCGCCGCGCTGCGCCTCCAGGTCCAGCAGCACCCCCTTGCGCTCGACCTCGAGCGGCGCCCCGCAGGCGCTGCAAGGGCCGCCAGGCGGGGTAACCGCGAGGCCACGCGCGGCGCCGACGGCCGCGGCGCAGTGCCAGCGCTGCCGGCCCCAGGCCGGGACCAGGACCTGCCGAACGCATCCGCCATCGCCGCCAGCAGCGGCTCTGGCGCGCACCCCCAGGCCCTCGCCTCCTTCTCGAAGCGGTCCAGCAATTCGCGCGTGGCCCGCGCCAGGCCCGCAGGCCCCGCGTCGGCGCGAGGCGCGGCCGGCCGCGGCTGGCCGCGCCGCCGCCGTCCGCTGCGTTTCGTCGTCCGCGCGCGACGTCGCCTCGGCCGAAGCGGCCTTCGCGCGGGCTTCATCGAAGTAGCGCCGCGCGGCCGCCAGCGCCTATTCCGCGGTTTGCACGGCTGCGGCGTTCCGCCTGCCGTTGCTTCGCAGCGCGCACTTCCGCCAGCAGCGGCTGGGCGGCCGCAGCTGGAGCCCCAGCGCGCTTGGCCGCAGCGGCTGCCTGGCGGAAGGCTTCCGCCTGGATCCCTTGGGCGGAGGCCCAGGGCGCCTGGCAAAACCGGCCAAGATGCGTCGGCGCCGCCCGCGGGGGCAGCCGACGGCGGGGGCGGGCAGCTCGCCTTCGCCCCAGCGCGGGCGGCGCCGCAGTGGCCGCGCGCCCCGCGGTTGTTCAAGTTGCACGCGCCGCACGCGCAACGCCACTCCGTGCGGCGCTCCAGCGGTTGGCGGCGGCCTCTGGCGCCGAAAAGGTTTGCGAGAAACTACTCTGCGAGCTCCTCCTCCTTTTCCTCCTCCTCCTCCTCCTCCTTTTCCTCCTCCTTTTTCTGTTCGTTTTCCTCCTCCTCCTCCTCCTCCTCCTCCTCCTCCTCCTCCTCCTCTTCCTCCTCCTCTTCCTCCCGCGTCCGTTTCGTGGCCACTTTGGCTCAAGCCCTTTCGCGTCGAGCTGGGGTCCGCTCGATCGGTCGGGGCGCGCTCTTCGAAGGGGCGCAGCGCCTCGGAGCAATGACGTCCTCCATGGTGAAGTTTCAGCGAAATTCATTCCGTGGGAAAATCTGCGCTCGTAAAATTATTCATGTGTGTGCAGGTGTTCGCTACGCACGGTGCTTACTGTGCGGTGCCGTGCTTGGGAAGCGCATGCTATCGGAGCGCAGCGTTCCAAAAGTCCGACCGGGAAAAACTCGAGATCCACTTCCGGGGTGGCTCGCGTGGCGCACGGCGCGCGTGGCCGTGGACGCGCGGAGCGCAATCGCCACGTGAAAACGGCAGGGATCATCGCATTTCGACTGGAAGGTTGTCGGTCGGGAGGGGGGGGGGGGCTCGTCGAACTCGGCGGGCTGCTCGGGAACGCTTTCGCGATCTAATGAGCTGCGGATTGGGCGGGGGGGCGGCGCAGGGTCTACCATGCTCCCGCGCGGGAGCTGGGTCGGCCTTGGCAGCGTTGCCCTCTGGAGCCTGGCTTGGGGCCTCGTGGCTCTATTGGGGGGGGTTCTTTTGCCGGATGCGGGGGTTGGTTGCCCCCTCTTCTCGCCCGCAATGGCGACTGAGGGGGTAACCTTGGGAAGTAGTCTCATAATCTCATATCCTCATCCCGCGTCCACGATGCCTCGCCCCATCATTCCTTCTCCTCCTCATTATCACCCTCCTCCTCCTCCTCCTCCTCTTCCTCCTCCTCCTCCTCCTCCAAGCCTTCAATTTGCGGATCGGTTCAGCTCGCGTCTCCCCCTCCTCCTGTGCACGTAGGTTAACGACCGCAGAATCGAACCGAATGAGGTTTCCGTAGGTGGAGGAAGGTTAGGGAGAGGGAATCGGTCCCTTCCCCCATGCGACGCGGGCAGGCGGCGCTGCACCTGTTTCCACTGCCTGAGCCGAGATGGAAGCAGGATGGACGGATATAGTGACGATATGAGCAGACTTCACGCACGCACCCCGCCCCGACTCCCGCCCGCTCCACGCGGGCATCGGGCCCGCCGTAAACAAAAGCAGGGCCCGGGACCAGAGGTGCGAGGCCCGCCCGAAACACCTTTCCATCCCCGCAACCTCCAGACGAGGCCGCCACGGTTAGGAAATAGAGAAAGGGACAAACCACGTCGCGCAGGTTGGGGGGGGGCTTATCTGCCTTCAGCGGGCCCAGGGCCCGACCCCTGAAACGCTTCGGCAGTCCTGGGCGAAGCCCCGTATCCACGGGAGGCGAAGTTTGTTTTGCTTTTTTTTTGGGGGGGGGGCAAGAGATATATGGAGTAAAACGATGCCGCGACAACATTGCAGACGCGGGCGTCTCCACCAGCAAGCAATGCGCCGCGCGCAGAAGAACTTGAATCATTGGGCGCATATCCCAAAATTCCAAGTTCAAAAATATTGTGATCAAGGTTGCGGCAACAACTAATCAAGGTAAGCTGAAAGGAAAAATCATTCACGGGATTTCATTTGCATGTCGATCGAAGCTGATAAGACAACCTACCACTCGTTATTATGCGATCAAAGCTGCCACGACAGATTATCCAACACAAGTTGTACAGCAACGTCATGCGCGAGGCACTCCAGGCCCCGAAGTTACGCGATGCACATCGAAACTATGGTGAAAAAAAAAACTGTTACCAAAAGAAGAGTCATAGGAGTCATGCTTCGCAGGTGTCACACTCTGCGTTTCCGACATTCCTTGAAAAGAAACCGAGCTGCATGACGCGATAATAGTTGCAACGGGCGACCTGCCTGGGCGCGCCCATGCCCTTGATGTCGACACACACCAATATTCGAAATCCCAGAACCTGCTTGAGACATAAGAATACATATATAATCCGGACAGCAACCGTTCGAATGTCAATGTCAATGTTGCATATGCCAACTCAATCAACGGAGCATGCGTTAGTTATAGTATGCGGGGTCCCAAATACGATTGCAACGATTGCTCGATAGTGCGAATAGCAATACGATCAACCCAGATAGATTTGCAATTATTCCCATCGATCTAGGTCCAATTCTTCAGAGAGTACGACCAGTAGCGCCATGCCTTGTCGCGGTAGTGTTCGAGGTCGCAGCGCCGCCGCGCCTCTGGGAGCGCCCTGCGGGTGCGGCTCCGAGCGCGCTTGCCGGTCATGCGCTGCGAACCTTCCGGAGGGCGCGGCGGCGCAATCGGCGTCCGCGCGCCCGCCGCGATCGGCGCGGCAGCTGTTGCAGCCCGCCGCTCCAGTCTGCAACGCCAAGAGCAGGGCCGCCGGAAGACGCCGCGCTCGAGAAGGAGGCAGCGCCCATGGCAGACTCATGGCGGCGCGGCGGCGGAGGGGAGGGCGGCGGGGTAGATCGGGGGTTGGCGGCCGGAACGATACCCTTGCCGAAGGTTTCGCCCCCCGCAGTGGTCGCAGCTGCGCGGGGCCTCGCTCTGAGCAGCGCCGAGGGCACGCGGTCCTGGCCCGCCTCGCCGACGTGGAGAGCGCTCGCACACGTCTTGCAGATGTGCTCATCGAGATTGGCAAGGAGGTCGGTGCAAGCTATTGTGTCCGTCTGAATTTCGGGCGCCCCTGCCTGGGCCAGCGTCGCGATCCGCTCGCGGGCGTTTCCGCCGG